GAAAGCAGCAAAAGACTGGCTGAAAGCAGCAAAAGACTGGCTGAAAGTACAAATAAAGTAAACTCAAAGCTAAAAGTAACAAAGTAAGAGAAAAGTAACTTTTGATAAAAGCCAAAAGCAAAACTACAGGGAGCAGAAGAAAAAAAAGCAACTTTCTAAATAAAATGTGAAATGTTTGTCTATCAGGCTTTTTTCTGAATGAGCTGAAGGTTTTAATACAAAAACAGCTGAAAGCAGCAAAAGACTGCTGAAACAGCACAAACTCTGCAGGATGAGTTGGATTGTAAAATAATCCAGGAGACGAGAGAAGATGCTGAGTCAGCTTGTGATAAACCTTTAAGGTTTGTCATTTTATACATTTACAGGTCATTTTGGTGGAGGTGCTGAAACGACAGGATCTCTCCCTCCAAAGCACGAAAAGCTCCGAGTCGACTCAACCTTTGGTCTGAAGCGTTACAGCAGAGACCTGACCCGTGTCCTCCGGCCCGTTTGTCACATGACTGGGCTCACAGAACGTCATGAGCCAAAACGCTGAGCTCAGAGGAGGAACTCATGGTTTAAAGATGAAGATGGAACAAACCTCAGGAACATGAAACTGACAGAAATGAAAAAACTTACCATCAACATCTGCAGGCAGCTGGGTCATCATGGACCCAGACTCACAGGCTTCAATGTAGAACACCATCTGAGTGGGAGACAAAGTGTTGCTCCATCATCATCATCATCATCATCATCATCATCATCATCATCATCATCATGTGAGTAAAGTCACCCTCAGCTTCTGTTCAGTAAGTTCCTGCAGCGTCTCACCTTCTTGTACATCTTATTCTTGTGCATGAAGGTGATCGTGTCCTGGAGATCTTCAACATGGAGCTGAACACAGAGGAGACAAATCATGCATGTGTACAAATACACAACATACATACACACATGTATAAATACAACACACATGCATAGTTACAGTGATGAGTGAGAAAATTAGTGTATACATACATACATAATGTACACAGGATTACTGGTGACTCTGTGGTAATCAGAGTACATACTGTATACAGGATTACTAGTGACTCTGTGGTAATCAGAGTACATACTGTATACAGGATTACTAGTGACTCTGTGGTAATCAGAATACACAGGATTACTGGTGACTGTGGTACTCTGAGTACACAGGATTACTGGCGACTTTGTGGTACTCAGAGTACATACTGTACACAGGATTTCTGGCGACTCTGTAGTAATCAGAGTACACAGGATTACTGGTGACTCTGTGGTAATCAGAGTACACAGGATTACTGGTGACTCTGTGGTAATCTGAGTACATACTGTGGTGACTCTGTGGT